GTTGTGTTTGTCGTCAGAGAAAAATATATCATCGATCAAAACAAATACTAAAAATAGAATCGCAGTACGTTATCGCCTATCGTAGTACGCGTATAGCAAAACAGCACCCATCCTATGTTTACCCCTCTTGAATGCAGTCGAACACAGCGACGTCTAACGGCTGAATGCAATTAGCCGCTGCCACAATAAACAATAGAATGGCTTATCTGTATATTATAAAATCAATGCTACTAATGATTATTGTCCGTTAAATTATTATTAAGTATGATTTGGCGTTTATGAAATACGATGTAACTGATGGTTTTTATTTGCTATGTGCTTGAATATGTGTCGTTTTATTACCGACGGTGTTCAGCTATTAAAAACACAAACCTTAAAGGGCCATTCTGAATGTGTTGATGTTGTAGAAACATATTAGAAGTTTTCTGTTCCAAACAGTTGTAAAATTATACCCGTATGATCCCGATTTATCCGTTAATGAACAGTGTAAAATATGGCAATATGGTACAGACATCCGGATGCGATATTTTCTTCACACTGGTTTGAGCGAGTAAATTTCTAGACGGACCTCACAAAATAATATTATGTACTTCACTGAAGTCTTATAAAATATAACGTTTAAGTCGTCTTTGGTATGTCTTAATGGGCTCTAAAATTGATATCCGTTAGATAATAATTAGTTTTTATACTGTAATACCTATGATGTACTTGCTAACTTTATATATAATGGTATAATCTCATCGTACCTACGACGACCGAGGTGGGATTTTTCGATAAGTAATTTCAAATAAAATACAACTTTTGTAGCGTTTTGTTCTCGTTTATTATTTTATAAGTACCTACTCAATATTCCATTACAGTATACTCTTATAAAAGTAAGTTTTAAAAATATTACAGAGTCTATATCTACTCAGATATTGTGAGCCCACCATGCAGATCCGTTTTGATGACTGCCAAAGCTTTGAATATATATGGCAACATTGAAATCAAAGAGCTGATACTATTTAAAAAACAACACAAAAATTTACCAGAACTTACAAAAGTACATTTTTTTTTGAAAAAAAAAAGATTTTTTATATTGTATTTTACCACTTTCGCTAAACGATCTACAACACAATCGTTGTTATTTTACAGATAAATTCCAGAAACACTTTACCGACAATGGCCGTCAAGGAAATCGGTGAGGATGAGGGTGTGGATTATTCTTTGTGGGATAGGTGAGTTAAAGTTATAATATTCATTTAGATAAATATAGTAAGGTACTGCGATATGCTAATTAATATACAAAATTTTTCTGCCTAGATTCGTTTCATGAAAATTATTGATAAATTATTATAAGAGTTTTCAGGGCGGTTGGGTCATTGAATGATGGAGACGTTCTTTTGATGAATCCTAAATCATGCATTGCATTGTTTTAATCATTTCAGTGTAGTTGTATTTATTTTTATTATTATTATCAATTTATTTTAGCTTGCACCGTTGAGTCTGAGTGTCTCTACTATTTATTTAAATTATTATCAAAGTTAACATTATTTCTCCTCATTTCCGGTGTTTTACAGTCATAAATGTACAAATGATGTACCTATAAAGTATTATAGTTGTACATTTGAACCACTTTATTCGATTGTCAAACATGTATCTTTAATAGGTAACTATAGCAGCTGTTGACCGAGGACGCTCTATGACTACATTATAATAATTTGTCGATAAGACTGCGGACGCACTCGGTCTATGAAGAAGGTAAAACTTTGGTGATAATTTAAATAAATAGTAGAGACAACCAGACTCAACGGTGTAAGCTAAAATAAATTAATAATAATAATTACAAAATATTTTTGGAATGTAAACCAATTCACCACCTCGTGGTGTACCTGTGTAACTAAATGGACTGGGAAGCATTCGGGCTATGTCAAAAATATGACCTTTTTTTCTTGTCACGCAATCGGTGGATGATACTTTATTCTAGACGCATTATAGGAACATAAAAAAGAATCATTTCGGCCACTCGGGAAACTCCCGTTGTAAGCCTTCTCCTTCCAAAATGCCTTTAATTTTTCCCTCTATTATGATAGTTGTCCTAGGAATAATCCTTATTAGATGTCCGATACGTATTTTTCTAATCAAACTCAGAGTATGAAGTATTAATTTCTGAGTATTTATTTTTTTTAAATCATCAACATTTTTTACCTTTTAAATCCATGATATTTTTAACGTTCTTTCTAACAACATACTTCGAAAACCTTTATTTTAGTTGTATCGGCCTTTATTATAGTCTACGTTTTGCTCCATATAGAACTGAGCTCCACATAAAGCTTTTTATTAGTGCTTTTCTGGTTTCTAGTAGTGATAACGATTATTCGATATTGATTTTAATATTTAAATTAGGTATAGGTATGTGTATGTGTATGTGTATAATGTATATACAGCAACTACAAATAAAGGGGGTTTAATAAACGGGGTGTGGGGGCCCACAACCAACTGTCTGTAATAGTAATATAATAATCAACAATTATTACACATTTTTAAAATTATTGACATGTTTCAGTCATGCAATCGTCGTGTATCTGGCTCAAAAATACGGAAGTATAAACAATCCATTGTTTCCCTCCGGGAGCATTGAGATTCAAGGGCAGATCAACGAATGGCTGCATTTTGACAACGGCACCTTGTATCCGGCATTCAAAAAACAATACGTGAATATTCACATTCATATTATAAAGACCAATTAGTAACAGTTAATAATTTATGGCTGTGTGTGTTTTTAAACGGTCGTGCGAGGTACTTATGGTACTTATCTTCCGTCCCTTTTGCAAGCACAATGAATATTATGTCGTAACAATTTATTACCTATTAAACGTTTTACTCGGTACCTACAAGATTTATGGCCATCGACTACCGTTACCATTACGTATTATCATAATACCATTATGTTGTAATATTCGTTTAGGTTTGTTATATGATAATATTATGACTAGATTCTGCGAGACCAAAGATCAAATTAAAAAAAAAAAACAAAAAAAAAAATTATTAAAAATGAATTTAAAAAAAAATTGAAACATTAGTTTTTCTACTTAGTTATGGTCAAATCAGATTTCGTGTCATAATATTATGTAATCAGTATAATCAAAAATTCAAGTCAATTCATTTTTAGCAATTTATCAGTTAAATATATATTACACTGTGTACAAAATCGTTAAATATACCTTAACGCAAGTTTCTCAAACGATTTTCAAATGCCCTAATAATAGATACAAATACCTTGTCAACGCTAAGGATTTTTATTATTATGCACACACATAATACATTTGCAGTCAAATTGAGGCTTAAATTTGATGATTTTTTTTTGTTCACAGAACCCTTGGCTTTTTGATAACGAGCCGAAAACGGTTGATAATAAAGACCTCACAGACGCACTCGAGTTTTTAGAAAAGTCGTTAAAACCTGAATTTAAGTTTGTTATCGGAAATGAACCGACTTTGGCTGATATTGCTTTAGTCGCCTCCATTTCAACATTTGAGGTATTTTCTTAGCGAATATTTTATTACTCATCATTGTTATAACGATGGAAACACGTTGAACACGCATTTTCATATTTACTTCAGGTTGCCGGTGTTGAATTGACGAAGTACAATAAAATTATTAAATGGCTAACACATTGCAAGGAATTGTATATCTACAAAACTATCAATATAAAGGGACTCGCTAAAATCGAGGGATTGGTAAAACTACGCAAAGCAGATGAGAAGGTCGAAACTGAAAGCACATGATTAAGAGGCAGCTTAGCATACCGCTGGAGGTTCCAGAGATGACTCATAATAGGCGCCTTGTCTATAATTATTTGTGTTTTTCCGATCAGATTTTGTGTTTTGATCACACCATTTTCATTTTGCACTATTCAATGCTATGAATGTAATAATTGCATTTTTAAAATTTTAAATTAACAAAAATATATAGCGATAATATAATACAAAAATGATATGATTGATATTAAATGATATTTGCCTATACTTATTTTTGGTTAATAGTTGGTAATCTGCTAAATCGTAACATTTATTTGCTGTCAACAAATAAATACATGTATAATATAAATCTTAATTTATATATCGAAATCTATATTGAATATTGATGTAGATACTTATAAGTTATATCGATATAGGAAAACAATTTATATTATTATCGTATCCAAATACCGTTATCGTACTGCGTCATATTTTATACTTACTGAATTTGATGTTTTTTGACGGGTGTGTCTGCAAATATACGATAATACAAATTCATGTCCAACTAAGCACAGTGACATCAGAACTAGCGCTCAACTTTTTATTTTTTTGCTGTGAAGGGGGGGGGGGGGGTAAAAGTTCAAAAAACTGTACATCAGTACTGCAATTAGTACTTTAAATTACAAAAATACTAACTAATATTTAATAATTAAATTAAAGTTTAATAACTTCACTAAACTGAAAAGGTTCCTTATCACTATTTTAATTTATTATAAAATTATAAATCTAGTCTCCAGAACTCTGATAAAGAAACTTTATTACCAATCTTTTATTATTAGACTGGGGGAAACTCTATTCTGAAAATTGTTACTTAACGATGTTCATAATAAACTCGTGCGTAGGAAACTAAAAATTTTGAAATTCAATGGAAACGTGACACCTCCTTATAACAACTACGACACTATACACGTTAGAGAACATAGAGTCTAAAACATACTTCTCAATTACACCGTTTTTGTTTTAGGAAATGGGTACAGTGTTCCCTTTGGTCATTGGCAACATAACCTAGGACTAACCCGGTGGATTCAGGGGGCGGGGTAGTTAGGTTAGTTTGCCAATGACCAAAGGGAACATTGTACCCATTTCCCAAAATAAAAACGGGCTTAACACGTTTCCACCAAAAGTGGACATTTCCCTTTTCCACCAATATCCGTTTCACCAAATGAGATCCACCTATAATTTAACCTCGTTTTTACCAAAAAATTTTGTATACTTCGCTTATATTAATATCTTTAATACAGTAATAACTTTATTTAACATTTGAATGCTGTGTTGAAAAAATGATGTATTATTGTATACTTGCTGAAGCTATGTATATTGTACCTACATATATAATTCGTTGATATTTTTTTTAAGTGCATCTTAAAATTTAAAAAATAGTGTTTTAACATTGACATAACTAAGGTATACCATAGTACAGAGGTATTCAAACTTTTTCATCACACGGCTCCTTTAAGTCTCCACAAAATGTTGACGGCTCCCAAATTATAAATGACAAAAAAATCAATGTTTATATGAATGTAATTTTTATTTTATAATTTATTTTTATTATTTATTTACCATATTACATATATAAAAAAAATTAAAGCTATATTTAGCGAATGATTGTTGTAGACAATTCAACGTTTCCCAACCGGGGTGCCTCAATGATAATAGTAAACATTTTTCTTAAAAATATTTATTGGTTTTCAATTATACTACGCGGCTACCTTCGACAACTCCCGCGACGCACAGTTTGAATACCTCTTAACATAGAAATGGTCCTCCCTTATGCATGCAACCAAGCATTAGTGGTCAATATCTTATTTAAGGGTAACCGGTATTGGTGGAAAAGGGAAAGGTCCACTCACTTTTGGTGGAAACGGGCATCGGCCCATCCATCACAGCGTAGGTACCTATATACCTAGGATCATAGTAATCAGTTGTTTACACGCCGTATGTAATGAGATCGACAAGTTTTCATTTCCGGAAACTGTCTGCCTCCTAATTATTTTATTTTTGAATTTTGGGAAACCAGCAATCAGGAATATTGTCCTCCGTTTGTTTGTTTCGTTTGTTTCACCATACGTTGTATTTTAAGATGAACAAAATATACACAAAGTTTTAAAAACGATCGTATACGATGAAACTTACCCGAATGGACATTTCCAAATAGTTGATTTGTTTTGGAAACAAATCCCAATCATCCTACAAACTGATAGTGGTTAACATTTTAGGTAAATATGAGGTATACAGCGACACAGGCTACTAACATGGTAATAGTGTAATACTGTAATAATACATTAATTAAATAATACATATCTAGTAACTGCGAAAGTACTCAACGCGACCATGTGTACATTCTTACTTTAGTAATAGTAAAAGTAATCTAGAATAGTTATACCTACCACCCACCCATTCCCACCCATCTATCCATCATTTTAGGTGGTTCAAATGCACCACCTTAAGTCCGTACTCAGTGCCACTGGCTAAAAGTTATGAGAGATTATATTATTTTGATTATACTGTAACAGTTTTCTGAAAAAATTAATTCGACGTTATACAAGTATATTGTCATGATTATCGTACTATAATACATTGGAATGGCATTTGGTTTATAATTAGCCACCAGGAGTAGGTTATTGTTGCATACTTGCATGTATATGCCCATGAAGTAGACAACGGTAAAATGGTTTATGAGGATGTTTAGGGTGATGTTGTAAGGACTCTTACCCTATTCTCATGTGCTTAAATTATGCATGTATTCAATGTCTGATCTTCGGAATTTAAAAATACATTTATAGACCATATTTTCGAACCCCTGAGATTTATTGTACCAGTTAAAGATAATATTGTGACAATACATACTTCCGTATTCAAATGGATAACGTCTTTTATAATTTTTAACTATTATTTATTTCCCAAATAATTTTTCTAAACATTTTACAAATGTATTCAAATGCAATTTATTCTAACAAAATGTACACATGTAGTGATCGCACCGCCATAGCGTCTGTCATCTTTATGTTAGGTTACCCCCCCCCGTTGGCCTTGAATGCCGTTGCCGGTAACGCAAGTCCGCCGTGGATGCCGCAGACACCGCAGACACCTGACCTAGTTAGTTATCCGACGGCCTTTGCTGGCTATTGCCTGTCGTTGCGTCGTTGCGGTGCCAATCTACAGCTCTTTGTTGTTCTCCGCCCTTGGTCGTGAGGTGCGTCGTTGTGCTTTCACACCTCCGTAGGGCCCATAGTCTGCGTTGGTTCGCTTCGCCAGTATTGTAACGTTTCCGACACGCCAGACGGTCGTACGACCAATGTGTATGTACTGATAGTACTCGCCTAGTAACCGTATAGCTTAGCTAAGGTATTTATTGTGTGGCCGTTATTGGCCTACGGTGAATTGCGAGGCGTTATACGCCGTAAATTTGAATCCCTGCAGGTAACGAGTTATCTGATAAAATCGCAAATGAAATTACACTTCCTCACAGTTCCGAATAATTAAACTTAACCACTTCTCCTGAGGCACTTGTCACCTTCAACCTTAAAATTCTACAAATATGGCAGAAAAACTGGACCGATGTCCTTCTTACAGATAAGATAAGATACCAGAATAGCCCTCACTCATACGACACATTTATTTCTCATCTCCAAAGAACCTACCCCAGTATGCGACCCGTGAAAGCAAACCTTTCCATTGATCACATCGTCACCAGATGTTCAAAATACTCCGAAGCACGAAAATTCTTCACCAATTCAGCTTCTCTCCGACGAGAGAGAACGAAGAAAACGCAGAAGCATAAAAGATCTTCCATACCTTAAATTTAAGTAATAAATTGTAAATATCTGTATATATTTCATTTTAATTTTCACAACCGGTTTTCTTTTTCACTTTACGTTGTATAAATGTGGGCTAATTAAGTAATAACTAATGCAGTGGCGGCGCCAGGAATTTTATCTTGGGGGGCCCATTGATGGACTTTGAAAATTTGGCAGGGCCAAAAAAGTCCCAATTCGTGGTCTTTTTCCCATTCATAGGCTCAGTATAGGGTAGGGGGCTTACACACTATCTATTGTAAAGACTGTGTTGCATATACTAAGTTTTCATATAATTATTGGTTTTCATTTTAATTGATAATAAATATCATATAGGTATAGGTATATTATTTAATATTTACACACTTAAACATTAGATAACATTTTCAACAAACTTACATAAACAATGAGTAGGTACTTTACTATAATATAGGTAATACACAAATTACATTTGTTTTTAAGTTAAAACATTTATATTTAAATAAAAAAATTACACAATTTTTATTTGCCTTAGCATTTAGCAACTTACTAAATATTACAAAATCTAGTTACAACGTTACAAGCAAACATAGTAAATAGTCAAAAACATAATTATATTAAATGGTATACATATAATTTATATCTACTAATTGTTAGAAATGATGAATATAAAATGAATTCACACATTTAAACACTATATAATAATTATAATTTGTATTAAACAGAAGTATAAATAAATTATGTTAAATTAAAAACTATAAAATTAACTTTTATGTGTTTTGTGCTTATACTTTAATTTAGCTGCTTATTGAATAGGTAACATAATTAGGAATCATAAACATATGATAGATACTTTTTTAGTTTATTATACACTCTTGTCACTGTTTTTTTTTCATTTTATACAATTTTTATTACGATTTATATTTTATAGTATTACTATAAATTATGTCAAATTAAAATAATTCGACGGTTTTGATGCAATGATGCAAATTCATTAAGAATGTCATCAATGTTTAGACTTTTGGCTTCTAAATTTTCAATGGCTATCACACTCAAATTTGACATATGAAAATCCATATGAGAAATTTATTTTTGAGATAGTTTTTTACCCGTTTAAGACAAGAAAATGTTCTTTCACATCCAGCTGAGGAAACAGGAATTGTAATAGATATTAATCAAAGTCTATGCAGTTCTGAAAACGCAATTTGATACTCATTTAGAAAATCATATAAATTAAAAATATCATTTATTTTAGTTGTAAATTTATTTTCATAGTTTTTTAATGATTTAGGCAATATTTGTAACTCTGATTTTAAAGTCTCTATTTCACAATTATAGGACTGTGCGTCTGTGCTAAAGGCAATAATAATGAAACATTTAAAAATAATTTAGAATTAGGGTCTAATGAACTTATACCATTCAAAAT